CACACACACACACACACACACACACACACACACACACACACACACACACACACACTTTTCCCTGCAGCAGTCATGGTGAGGGAATCTGAGCACGTCTTCCGGGCCCGTTGCCTGCCCTGGTCTTTCAGACTCAGGACCACCTGCTTGCTTGGCCAGCAGTACTTCCTTGGCGGGGACACTCAGCTGTGTTCACTGTTCTGCCCTAGACAGAAGGGGCAGTTAGTCTGCCCTGCACCCACCCCCGCCAACTCCCAGAGTAGAGGATGAGTGGAAACGGAGCTGAAGGAGTCCCTTGATGTGGGGTGGGAGGGGGACTCCCTCCTCTGCTGCGCCTAAATACCCTTCCCCCAAGCACATTTCTGAGAAGTGACCTCTTTGTCTCTGGTTGGCTGGAACTTGTCCCCCATCTTGGGGCCGACTCTGCCCTCCCTTCCACAGTGAGAAAGAAAACATCTTGAAGAACCAAGATGTTGCACATGTTTTGGAATCCTGGCTACTTTTGAAGGACAGTTCCTGGGCCTGAAGGAACAAGTGGTGTCGCATCTCTCATGGCCAGGGGCCAGCGCCTGGGTGGGGATGGGGGTTCTGCGCCTTCCAGAGGCTGCATGAGATCCTGGGGCTGGCCAACGCCTGAATGGTCTCACCAAGGAGACCTGACCGGGGATGGGCATTGGCTCCCCATAGCCATGAGGAGGGGCCCAGGGACACTGCTGTCTGATTCCAGGTTCCATATGCAGGAAAGAAACTGGAAGCAGGCTGGCAGCAGTTGCTGCTGGTTCTAACTTGGGGTCCCTGCAGGAGGTTTACTGGGGAAGCTGAGATTTAACACCTTGCAGGCTGGGAAGCTGCCAGTCCCTGAGGGGTGTAGGCTGTGCAGGAAGATTTCTTTTTTTGTCTGTCACACCCAACGTATCATTTCCGTAGCCGGGCAGCAGATGGGTAGATGGGGGCGGTGAGGAGTGTGAGGTGTGCCGGAAGAAGGAACATGCACTCCAAAAAGTAGGGAGAGTGGTAAAGATGCAATGTCTTTTTTTGGGGGGGTGGGAGTGGGGTGGAAAAATCCTGCTGCTTCAAAGTGGAGTGGGAAAGGACTGTGTCAGGAAGCCCTCAAGACAGTTTAGCGTACCAGCCAAGACCCAGCATTGGTACTAGAAAGTTCCAAGTTCAAATTCCTGCCCTGCCACCAACTAGCACCAGCTGACATTTGCTGGTTTTTCTGCTGAGGTCTTTCTGTGCATCATCTGATTCAAGTCTCACAAAACCATATGAAGTAGGTGTCAGTTTTATTCCCGTTGGACTAAGGTTTACTGAGGTTCTGAGAGATGAAGTAACGTGCCCAAGGCCACACAGCCAGTGCAGATAAAGCAGAATCTCCATTCTTAGCCAAGGCTTTATAGCTGAAACAATGATTTATGGTCCTCTGACTTCCTGACCATCGGGTCTTGGGGGAAGACACCTAACTTCTCCCATCCTTGGTGTTCTGCAGCTAGGAAATGGAGAGATGACTGTTGTTCTAGGTGTCTTGTGGGGATTACATGAGAGAATGTTTCTTAATCTTTTAGCCAGTGCCTGGCCTATAAATAATATCATCACTCGTTCATTCAACACCTAGGTACTGAGCACCTGTCATATGCCAGGTTCCATTTTAGGTGTACAAGCTAGGAAAGACCCCAGCTTTACCAAAGGGAATATGCAGATAAGCTAGATGATTTCAAATAGTGATATGTGTCACGAAGAAAACAAAACGGAGTAATGACTGTGACCATAGAAATCTGAGGGTCTGTTTTAGCTGGTGGTCAAGGAAGGTCTGTTTGAAGGAGTGTCAGTTGAGCTTAATCTCCAAAGGAAGGAGATGTGGAAGGAGACGCACCTTCTAGGTTACGGGGACAGCAAGTGCAAGGCCCGGAGTTGGGAACAGGAAGGGGGCTGGTGTGGCTGGAACAGCGTGAGCAAGCAGATGGACCCGGGCAGAGGGTAGGTCTGGGCAGTCAGTAAGGCAGGGCTGGGAACGCCATAGAAAGGTGTTTGCACAATGGACAGCCTTTGGAGGGCTGCATCAAGAGAGTAATGTGCTCTCATGTATTTATTTAAAAGTTGGCTCTGGCTGCTGTGTGCAGAATTGAATATTGCGGGACGAGGATGGACGCTAGGAGACCAGTTAAAGAGACTGGGATTGCAGAGAGAGGAGGAGGATGGCGGCTGGGCCTAGACAAGAGCCCCAAATGGAAAACGGTGGATGATGCTTCTCATTGGCAGAGAAGGGAAACAGCAATCAACATCCTAGGGAACAAATGACTTGTACAACATAGCAGTAGTTTTTGCAAAAGTAACAAGCCTCAGACCTCGCAGCTTATGAAAAGCAGAGTTTGGGCTCATCTCTTAATACTGTAGGAATGTTACTCTCATCACCTTGCATGGAGCAATATCACTGCTATAAATATTTTTCTTTTCAGCAAAGGGAATTGCTACTCTTTTTTTGTGTGGGGGGGAAGGAGTATTACTGAATATAACTGCAAACCCAGAGTTTATGATGTCAAACTGGATTTCTGTATAAAACAGGGTTAGATAAACTTTTTCTGAAAAGAGGCAGACAGTAATTTTTTTCATTTTTGTGGGTCATACTGTCTCCTCTTGCAACTACTCAACTCTGCTGTTATTAGCTTGAAAGCAACTGTAGACAATGTTTAAAAGAAGGGCATGGCTCTGTTCAAGTAAAATTTAATGTGTAAAAACAGGCAGTGGGCCGGTTTTGGCCCATGGATCATAGATTGCCAACTCTGGCACAAAATATCATGTGTTTACATGGCCTAGATAAATTTTTTTTTCTATAAAACCAATTCAAGACATTTCCCCAAACTCTTTTGTAAAACTAGGATGCATCTTACATACCTGTGCTTTAATATAAATTGTTATCATATTTAATATGATATAATTTAATGATGACTCAGTCCAGGGATTGATGACTGAATTCCTCAAATCTTAGGGATTCTTTGTAGATAACTCAGGGGACCAAGGCAATAGTGAAGATGGAGGGCTTTGGGACCTTGCTTCTGCTGCAACCAAGAACCCCTCTTGGACCTATGTTTTACTGGGTTGTCGGAAAAGTCATGACATATTTTTTTTTCTATGTTTTTCGTTGCAAAAATGCATCATGACTTTTCCGACAACCCAGTAATTGGACTTCATAAGAATTTGAGAAAAAAGGGTTGGGAGCTAGAAAAAAAGTTGAAACCCATTAACCCAGTCCAACTGGTTGGAGAGCATATTCCCGTTCCAGTATCAGGCATTAGAGAGGCAATTACATAATTGTTCATAGAACAGACATGTAAATTTTCTAACTGGATGGAGGGGGGTTCAGGGAAATATTGCTTTGGGGTTACATTTGTGCGGTAGAGAATGTGCAGGGAACACAGAGCAAAGGGTCTTATGCAGATATAGACTCTCTAGAGACAATGGCCACAATGTCCTGTATAGAGTGGTGGGAAGCCCTTTTAAGGGCTTGCTGAGCCCTTTAAGGTGGAGGCAGCAGGCTGTATGTCACATGGCGGTTCATCCTGGAGAGGCAAGATGACAGAGTGGCTTGAACTTTATATTCAGACACAGTTAGGTTTGAGTCTCTTCTCTGTTACTTAGTAGCTAGGCAAGTCATTTATTTAACTCTCTGGTTATCCATTTTCCCAGCTGGAAAACTGGATTGATACCACTTCCCTTCTCAAGCTGTTGGGTGGAGTAAATGAATTCACCTGTGCAAACTGCCTAGCACATTGCCAGACGCTTGAGAAATTTCCTTCCCCGCTCTGTTCACAGGGGTGTGGGATGATCTCAAAGGCTCTTTGAGACCTTCTACCATCTCTTTCTTGTTGACTCCAATTTTCATGCCCCAATCTTCTCTTCTCAGGATGTGGCCAGGTTCTGCGAGCCTCGAAGGGTCAGATTTTGTTGGAGAGCTACCCCCTAAATGCTCACTGCGAGTGGACCATTCACGCCAAACCTGGGTTCATCATCCAGCTAAGGTAAGGGGCTGGGATCAGACTTAGGGGAGTCTGAGATTATAAGAAAACACAGTAACAGGACCAAGGGCCCTGGATCCTGGTGACTCAGGGCTAACCATCAGCACTTTATCCTTAAAAGCAGAAAATGAATATTGGAGCCTTTTTCTTCCCCACTCAGTGATTCCAAGTGGAATGAGGTCAAAACTATAGCCAGTGAAATGCTTGCCATTCACCGCTCTAGAACAGTGGGGCTCCGATGACGTCGACAGCAATCCACCCGTCCACAGATCTTTACTAAGTCTCTCTATTCACCCAGTACTGGGCTGGATTCTGTGGGAGAGCAGTGAAGAAACAAAAGACACAGGTCTGCCATTCAAGGAATTTACACTCTGGATTGGGGTTTATAGTCCTCACAGCTCCTTTTATTGCTGTTCTCAGAAAACAACCACCACCACCCTTGCAACAAATGAACCAATTATCTCACTTGTGTGGAAGACAAGTTGCTTCTTTTGTGGAGCTTTGGGGCCCTCACCAATGTTTAATTCATGCCATAGTCCAAAGTACAGACCCGGTTTTATTGTTAACTATAGATAAACAACACAAGAGAGTCCTGTTTTGTGAGAACTGTTAACTGCTATGTCCTAGCGCCTGGAACAATGCATGGTACACACCATAGGTGCTTGATAGATACTTGTTGCATAAATAAATGTGGAAAGAACTGCTCTCTCCCCTAGTGTATCTCTCCTGGCAAACTCCTCTCCTTTTCCTCTCTAGGGAGGCAGAGTGACTCATCCCCCCTGGGGCTTCTAGGGGCATTGTCCACTTAGCTCTCCCATTTTCTAACCAGTGGGGAGGTTGGTAGTGATGGAAATCTCTAACCTTCTAGGAAACAAGCTTTCAATAGATATTTTCTGGCTGGATCAGTACACCCTGAGGTTGCCACATGCTGGTTGGTACCATGAATGGCTCTGCCCACGAGGAGGGACAGTACTGTACCCTGCATTGGAAAGAGCCAGCAAATCAGGTCCCCTTCCCAATTCTCCTTGTCAAAGCTGGCCCTTGGTAGCCAGCGTTCCCACTTCCTGAGGACCTGGGGTTGGGAGGGAGACTCATTAATTGGACTTTCCCGGAGGAAGGTTAGCTCAAGGCACAAGTGAGGGGCCACCCTGTTCCATTTAGTGGGTCCCGGCTAGGTCTGCCAGGGAGACAAGGGCAAGTGTTAAATGCCACGTGTTAGTATTTCAGCAACTGAGGGGCCAGGCCAATTGTTCCCCTTGGGTCTCTGAAAAACTTCTCCGAGATCCAGGATGCAAAATAAATCCCCCCCCCAAAAAAAACAAAATTCCAAAATGGTGGAGGGACTGAGAAGCATGTCACCTGCCCAGGAAGGGTCCCAGGGAGACTTGGAAATAGATGCATTTCCCTCTAGTCGAACCTGGACCTGCTGGCCAGGGAGAATAATAATGACGGGAGCACCCTGAAGCGTATGTACAATGTTCCGCCCAAACGCTGAGCAGTCATCATCCCTCTTGCCTTTTTTTCATCACCTACCACAGCCAGGCTACCACGAAATCTAATTTTACAAAATAACCTCAAGTCAGTCCGTATCTGTCTCTCCTGCCACCATTTTACCTCATCTTACCTCATCTCACCATGTTGCCGCCATCTCTTACCCAGATTCTCTCATGGTCTCGTTTTTGGCTTCCTCGCTTCCACTCTTGCCAGCTCTGTAATCTGCTCTCCTCAGAGTGACTAGAGTGATCCTTTAACATCCTAAATCAGGTCACTATTCTGTTGTTGAAACCTTTCTGTGCTTCCTGTCAAGCTTGGAGTTAAATCTGAACTTCTCGCTGTGCAGGAACTGGCTCCTGCTCTGCTCACCGACCTCAGTGCATGCCACTCTCTCCTTTCCTCACCACCTTGCAGCATCCCTGGGCTTCTTTCAGTTCAGTGCTGACTCAGGGCCTTTGCAGTTTCAGAGTCCCCTGCCTGCACCACGCTTCCCCAGGGCCTTCACTTGGCTGCCTCAATTCCATCATTTAAGTGTCTGCCCAAATATCATGTCCACAGAGAGGTCTCCCTTGACCATGCTGTGTAAAAAGCTTACCCTCCCCAGTCATTCTTTATGCTCTTGTTTTCTTCATAACACAACGCTTTCTGAGATTACTTTGTTTTCTGGTTTCCTTGCTTACTGCCTGTCCCCCAAATCAAAGCTCATCTCCATGAGGGCAGGCACTGTCTCTAGTTGGGGCTCCACTGTGCTTTCAGCACCAAGAACAGCGCCCGACACAGAGCAGGCCTGCCACAAACTTGAATGAGTGAATGAATGAATGTGTGAATGTAAATACTAGTTGTAATATCTTAATATTAAAATTCAGAAAAAGCTGGGATCTCTGTGGGTTGGTGGCCTTGTCTCTTCCCCTTTACAAACAAAGATGCCAAAGCCCAGAGAAGGAACTGATAGCTCAAGGCTCACCATAAGTTAGTGGTGGCATCTTGATGAAAAGAAGTCAGGTCCTTAGATGTTAATCAAAGCATGACTAATAGGACTTACACTCTCTTACAAAGGATTTTTTGATAAAAAGATATTTTTGTAAAATAAACACTGGTGACACTGTGTTTAAGAGCATTTAGAATATATTGATCGTCACTTAGTTCCAGTGTTCTCTAATTCTGGCACCTGAGCTTTTTACCCAAGGTGGTAAAAATAGCCCTAGTCCCAACTTTTCAGGGAGCAGTTCTGAGCTTTTCTGTCTATGCCAATTTGTCCAGAATGTGAGGGAGAAGATACAAATGTACATTTTGTGAGCTTGATGCACAGGCATTCCCTTGGGAATCTTCTGAAAAATAGCCTTTCCTCTCAGGGCCTGGCACGTGGCTGCCTCTTTTCTTGTTTCTTGGAATTGGGTGCTCAGGGTCATTTCTGCTTTTTTGATGTAATGTAGCCCAATATTTCTAAGCCCAAGACCCCTTTCAGGTAATCACAGATTTATCAGCTCTCTCCTAATTCTGAAATTCTGATGTGGTGCTACTCTTTGTACTCTTGGGGGTGAGCATTATTGTTACCAAGAAGATAATTACCCTCTGATCTTTCCATCCAACAGAAGAGAGTGCAAAGTTCTTTTTTCCTTTACTCAGTTTTGCAAGACAACATATGCTTTTTCCATTCTCCAACTGTGAAGTTACAATATAGTATCTATTCAGTCATCTGCTCAACAACATGTACTTTGCATCTCAGAGTGTATGGCACTGTGTTGGGCGCAGTGGAATAAGACAGATGTCCCCCTCTACCCTCAAGGAATTTGCCTACCAAAAAGTCAAGGAGATAAAAATGAGACATAAAAATGTGCTTATAATTATGAAGAAAACAAGGGCTCTTTTTTTAGATAGAATTGTCAGGGAAGCCTCTTGGAGGGGGGAATATTTAAGCTGAGGCCTGAGGATAGGAAGTAGCCAAGCATGCAGACTGGGGGGGGAAAGTACCCCTGGAAGAGGAGCCAGCACGTGTAGAGGTTCTCTGAATGCAATATGGCACCCCTTTAGCTGGACACATACTGTGTGCATGCGCGTACACACACACACGCGCACACACACACACACGCACACGCACAGTATACATACACACCTCTCTCCACTAAAAGAAATTCATCTGACCTCAAGTTCTCCAGGACCACTTTCCTATCAGATCAGTCCAATGGCATCGCTCTTCCAGAGACCTGTTCGTCGTCATACCTTGAACTTGCCCAGGGGTCTCAGGACTCTCTCAGGCCCACCTATTACCTGCCGTCACCCTCTCCACCCACAGGTTTGTCATGCTGAGCCTGGAGTTTGACTACATGTGCCAGTATGACTACGTTGAGGTCCGTGACGGAGAGAGCAGCGACGGCCAGATCATCAAGCGTTTCTGCGGCAACGAGCGGCCGGCCCCCATCCGCAGCACAGGCTCCTCCCTCCACGTCCTCTTCCATTCTGACGGCTCCAAGAATTTTGATGGCTTCCATGCCATTTTTGAGGAGATCACAGGTAAAGGCCCCAGAGACAAATGGAGCATTTTGTGGCTGCGCTCCAGACAAACGTCTTTCTGTGTACCACCCCTCTCTCTGCTCCGCTCTATTAAAGCCCAGTGTGCTGGGTTCTCAGAAGGACTCGGACATTGAGAGGGAGGAGAGAAATGGTTGAGGTGTATTTCAGAAACGCTCACCAGACCCAGAACTAGGAATTATTATCTCCTTTGTACAAATGCTGGAGCACAGAGAGGCTGAGTAATTCGTCCGAGGCCACACAGCTGTGGGAGTGGAAACAGAGATGTATTACACACAAGCAGTTTGGCTCCAGAGCTCACTGTAGGGGCCCTCTCATGGTTAGGATTAGCTTTGGATTTCTGGCAAATTAAGCCATATGACGTGGGGTAAATTCTTCTACATCTCTGGGCCTAAATTTTTGAATCGGTGAGAAAGGGAATAACCATGGAACCTGCTCGATTAAGGAGGCTCTGGGAGGCAAAGGTGAAGAGCTGCACACGGTGTTTGGTACGTAGGAAGCGCCCAATAACTGCTCTACACACGTGTGCCCTCAGCCTCCCTTTGTCACCGGGAAGCAGGCATGCAGATTATAGGTAAAATAGGTATTAGAAGTCTTAAACTACAAAGGCAATGCCACCTACTTCATGAGTAATTCGAAGCCTGACTTCACCTCCTGCCCTCGTTGTGTTAGGAAGTAGGATTTGACCAAAATGAGCAAAGGGCTCAGTCCTAAGGAACCAGTCCAGCTCTCACTGGTCTGGGATTGGATTGCATCAGGCTTTGCCAAGTAAGCTCAGGCTTACAGTTCCATTTATTTAAATACTGAATTAAAAAGACACTGAAATGGCACTTTGATCATTAAGGCTTCCTTATGGAAGGAGGGTATGATACAAAAAAATGCCTCTCCCGGGAGGTGGGTGGTAGTGGCATCAGTCTTTCTTCAGCCCTGTCCTTTCAGCAAGAGCAGCAGAGAACCCCCTTCCCCAACCCACCCTTCCCTTAGAATGTTCCCAGTGCGGTCTCAGCAGTTGCTCCTTATACTCTATGGTCCAGCCTCCTTTCGAGGATCGCCCCTGGGAAGCTGTGCAGGGCCTGGGCGTGGCTTGCCAGTTTAGATGCTTTGCTGCTGTGGGGTGGTCGGCCTGATGCTGAGTCCTCACCCCTGAGTGACACCCTGTCGGCTGAGGCTAGCAGGGCACACTTGAGATGCATCTGTGGGTATTTATGGCAGCCAGCAAGAGCTAGCTGTCAGGGGAGCCAGCTGGAAGCAGTGGTGGCTCACCAGCTTGTGACCCTGTGACTGTGGGGAGGTCAGGAGGGTCTCTTCCTCCTCCAAGGTGGGCACCTCAGCCTCCCCTGGAGAATGCTGGGAAGCACTGGTCTGCGTTGTCAAGTAGACGGTAGAGCTTCCTGTTCCTCAAACATCCCGTCCGTCCACTGTACTCAAGTTATCCCCTGTGGCTAAAGTTCCCCCCCCCCATCAAATCCCAAACTCCAGGGCCGTATCAGATTTCTCCTCCTCTGCTAAGCACTTTCTCTTATTCCATAGGGCTGTAGCTTTGACTTTTTTTTTACTGTCATGTAACACTTTTTTTTTCTGTTTTCTGACACTAACTGAGTTATGCTTCAGATTATAGTTGTTGTATACTTTTCTTTGAAAAGCTTTGATCTGGTAAGTAGGCCCTCTGTTCATTTCTGTGTTTCTCTGGTGCCTTACACAGAACAAGGCCTCAACACAGGCTTGTCGAAGTGAGTCGAATAATATATTTCTTCTCCGGGGAGAATGAACGTAGGATTTTGGAAGCAGACCACTGCTTCCAAAAGGGTTTTCTGTAGAAAAATGCTCCCCGAGACATGCTGTAAAATTCAGGTTAAATCAGCTTGGGAAAGGTAGATTATTATGTGCATTCTTAGAAATTCAGAGCACACATTGAAGCATGGAACATTCTGAGAAGTTCTGCAGAAGAGAAATCTGGTTAATTGGCATTTAACACCAGTAGTGTTTCCCCACCACATTTGAGCCCAGAACTCTTAACATCTCAAGGGTGTACTGTTTGCAGGATGTGTGTTTGGAAATTTGGGGTATGCTTTCAACAGTGTCATTTTCCACTTCCTTTCCCCTAGCACCCAGGATGCTGAAAAAGATGATCTAAAGCTACCCGAGGCTGTTTCTCTCCCCTGGAGTCCCTGTGGGAGGGTGAAAGCATGTTTTTGCTTTGGTTATGGGGTGCACCTGTTTGGGGGGAACTTAGGCTCTTCAGACTATGGGTTTCAGGAGCGTACTTCTGGGGCCTTTGAAAACATCAAATAAACATCAGCATTTGACAGTTACTGAATACCTGTTTTAGGTATTCTCAAACAATGGTAGCGTGAATTCAATAAAAGGAGTAAAAAACAATCACAAGAAGACTAATAGACAAGGGAAAGGCTCTGGTTAAGATGGTAGGCTTAAAGAAATGGACTCACCACCCAGTGGCACTGAGAGAAATTGCCTTTTCTCTTATAGCATGTTCCTCGTCCCCTTGTTTCCATGACGGCACTTGTCTCCTTGACCAAACTGGATCTTACAAGTGTGCTTGCCTGGCAGGCTACACCGGGCAGCGCTGTGAAAATCGTGAGTATGCCTTGGGAGTGGGAGTTAAGGTGTCACCTGGGGCTGGTGTGGAGAAGGCTTGGGAGTTTGCTGGGTATGTTGTTTCTTGGTGTCTGGGATGGTGTGTCCAAGATGGGACATATGTGGACACTCCCATTGAGTGGATCTCAGGAAGGCGGGGCTGCCTCTGAGTCAGGATGTCTGGTACCACCCAAGTTTGCCCACTGACATTCCCAGCCTTCCCCTGCTGCAGATATCTCTCAAAAAGATATACCTTTAGTGGCCCAAGTAATTGAGAGTTCAAAAACATTGAGAAAGGCCAACAGTAGAAGGCCACCATCATAAACTCCTGTGGCTGAGTCTGAACCCCTGTCCATCCCAAGACCTGATTTGGAGTTATGCTCCATGGCACCATTTATAGACTGCAGTATGGTGTTGTGCAGTCTGAGGCTCTACATCAAAGATGGTAATTATGTAGGGTGACCATGATCCCCAGTTCCCAGGGACATTCCCAACTTATGCATTTTGCCTGGGCATAATTATTGACAGCACGCTCTTTCATACCCAAAAGTGTCCTGAGTTGGATGACAAATTTAACGATCATCCTGTGACTATCGGACCAGGTTAAGTGAGTCACTGAGAAATCAGTCAACATGTATTGAGGGTTCTCTTTGTATTGGGTCCTATGGAAAGGCAGAAAAAAGTGTGTCTTATTTTCCCCTGATGGAGTTTATCCTGAATTTGTGAGTTAAGCTCCAGGCTTCTCTAGTGGTTCTTGAGCAGGCCTGGAATGAGATGGGGCCATGGAAGGTGGTGCAGAATAAAGGGGTCATAGAGGAAAGAAATCCTCCAGCTATGGAGTTCACAGCCATCAGTCTCTAGGACAGCTGTCCTTCTCCTGTCACCACTCAAGTCCCTACCACCTCCTGCCTGAGCCATATCCTGGCTGGCCCACCGAATCACCCAGGTTCTCCAGTTTTGCAGACAGAAGTCAAAAACAGAACACTGGTAGCTCCTAGTCACCTGGGGTCAACCAAACAGCAGAAACAAGAGGAAACTAACTCAAGGAAATGACTCCAAAGCAAGCAGAAATTTCTAACTCACGTTCTTGAAAGGGAAGACATGATTCTTCTCTGATATTAGATTCAAACATTGGCCATAGAAGGAGAGAAACTAAAACCTGCTGAGTCTAAACATGCATCTAACAGGGTATCTGCCCTTGGGAAGAGTATATGCTGACCACGGCACCAGTGGCACCAGGACTGTCCAGCCCAAATGTGTGGCTCCCATGACTTTGGGAGAGAGGGGCTTAAACTCTATGACCAGAAGTCATCTATCCAGGGTCTCTGGTAACCGTGAGCCTGTGTGTGACGTGTGTCCTAACAGAAGCGTGAGGCCTAAAGCAGGTGTCATGGACTGCAACTATCCGAATGGATTGAGATGTACAGAAGAACAAGCATCAAAATTTGGGGGGAAAGCAAAGGAGGACAGAGAATGGCCTAGGCAGGGCTCCCGGAGATGCGACTGTGTGTGCAGGTGATGTATTAAGCACATACCTCCAGGAGAAGCTGGTAAGGTAATGAGGAAGCTGAGCTGGGAAGAGAAGGAAGCAAAGGTGAGATTTCAGGCAAAACCCCAGCCTCCGTGTTAACCAGCAGTGAGAAATGGGATGTAAATCATATCTCAGAGAGTGTCTGGCTTTAGAGCAAGGGAGCTAGACTTTCATGTCCCACTGTTGCCCTGGGTGAATAGGAGGACGCGTGACTTTCTATGCATGTGGGCCCAGTGGCTCCAGTAGCCCTGGAGCAGTCAAAGAGGTGGTAGGTGCAGGCCACTGGAAGGGGAACAATGTAGACTTGGGCAAGGGAAGGAAAAGGGCCCACAGAAAGGATGGAAAGACGTCCAAGGGCAGAGCACCAGCAGTGTCTGCTACAATCACTTCTAATGAACATGCACAGGTACTTCGGGGGCCATCCTGTAAGGGAAATGGTCTGACAACATTCTATCAAGTTCACACATTTTTTCAAAGAATTTCATGAATCTCCTTGCAAGCAGTGCAGATGGAAGCCTTGATTTCAATAGCGTGTCCTTGAATGTGCCATTGTGTTCTACCGAAAGCATCCTTTGCTTTGGTTTGTCACAGCTGACCTGAGTGCGATTAATGCCAGACGCTTAGAAAATTATGCTCTACATTGTGGTTCCTGCCTTGTTTGAGGCTGCTGTGTTATGTGTCGGGCAGAGAAGAGAAAGGTTGCTTTCTCTTGGTTTAAAAAATT